TGTTTGTATCATACAGTATTTACATTTCTAATATTTGATCTAATATGTCTACCTTGTCTATAAATATCTTTCTGTTAGATTAGTTTTAGAATAGATGCTAGTGAAAACTTTAATTCAATTAGAATTAGAATAGAGCCCTAGTTACTCATGCTGAGACTTTATCTTTAAAATATTATAACCTCTTTACAATCAATCCTTCTGCTCAAAACTGACCCCTTTCAAATAACCCTGTCAAAATCTTCCCTTCAACTCAGGTATTGTTCCCTTACCCATGATAACAAACTGTTAACACCTACCAACAGATTTCAGATCACCCCGTCAAAATCTTCCCTTCAACTCAGGTATTGTTCCCTTACCCATTATAACAAACTGTTAACACCTACCAACAGATTTCAGATCACCCCGTCAAAATCTTCCCTTCAACTCAGGTATTGTTCCCTTACCCATTATAACAAACTGTTAACACCTACCAACAGATTTCAGATCACCCCGTCAAAATCTTCCCTTCAACTCAGGTATTGTTCCCTTACCCATTATAACAAACTGTTAACACCTACCAACAGATTTCAGATCACCCCGTCAAAATCTTCCCTTCAACTCAGGTATTGTTCCCTTACCCATTATAACAAACTGTTAACACCTACCAACAGATTTCAGATCACCCCGTCAAAATCTTCCCTTCAACTCAGGTATTGTTCCCTTACCCATTATAACAAACTGTTAACACCTACCAACAGATTTCAGATCACCCCGTCAAAATCTTCCCTTCAACTCAGGTATTGTTCCTTTACCCATGATAACAAACTGTTAACACCTACCAACAGATTTCAGATCACCCCGTCAAAATCTTCCCTTCAACTCAGGTATTGTTCCTTTCCTTTACCAACAGATTTCAGATCACCCCCAGAACAAATTACTACCTCCCTTGCCCTCTAAACCTTCCCTGACCCAAAGCCTTCTCACACTATTAACCTTTCTTTACCCACCAAAACCTTCCTGACCCCCATAAGTAACCCCTCCTTACCCCTAATACTAACCCTACCCCGTACTGTTTTCAGATTACCTACGAGGAATTTGAGTTGTACTACGCCGGAGTCAGTGCTTCAATTGATCTTGATTCTTACTTTGATCTTATGATGAGAACAGCTTATAAATTAGACAACTAAAAATCACACAGAAATAATTTACTAGTTTTTATTATTTTGCTTGTTTTTTACCTGCTTGAGCTAATTTGATAAAACTTTCTGATCTAAATAAT